TTTCGGTGGGGCGTGGGTTAGCCCCAGCCAGTGGACGAGGCAGGCAGGCCGAGTCTGCCCGCTCTGCCCGCAGCCAACCGTGTGCGCCTGCTGGGGCTGCTTCCACCCGGGAAGGGGCGCCTTGTCCTAATTTTCACGTCGGGACTTACAAACTAGCAGTGGCCCCGAGAGTAGGGCACACTGAGACCCGGGAAGGTAGAGGTGAGGTCAAGCACCACTCCGCAGTGACGTCCGGCCATTAAAAGTCAAACGGGCTGAGAGGCTCGGCCCTCTCTCCCCTCTCCCCGTCCCCGTCTGACCTGAAACGACCCCGAGCCTCTTTTCTGCTGCGGCAGGTGCTTGTTCCCTCTTCCTAGATGAAGCATCAATCATATCACTATTTCTCGATGACTTGGGTCTGTGCTGTCTGTTGAGTTTCTGTGACGGAAGTAGGACCGGACGCCATTGGCGTCACCTGCCCCATGTGTACCTTGTGCGTCCGGGGTCGTGGGGTTATGGTTTCTGGTGGAAGCTGTGATACCTGTGTTTTTATGTAAATACTCCTCCCACCTGAGCCGAAGAAGGTACCTGAGCTCCATTTTCCCTCTTGTGTGAGTTTTGTTTTTCTTGAAATTAGCGTTAGGCTTGTTGTCTCACGTGCTCAGTTTTTTTAGCAATATCTAATTTTCCCCAAATGCTCACTCGGATCTGTCACAGAGCGAACAATGCCGTTTCCAAATTTAGCCTGTCAAGCTTTCGAGCGAGCCATCAGCCCCATCCCTCCTCGGAGCACCTCTCCCCCGCCCAGCTCCACACGACACAGCTCTGCCTGGTGCACGTGTTTCCCAGGAGCTCTGCCACTGCTCCGGGAAGGCCCTGCCATCTCATGCTTCATTTTCTTGCTTTTCGCCTTCATTTTTGAGATTTTTTTTTCCACTATAGGGCGCGTGCGCTCGCCAGACAGACAGAGAGAGACAGAGAGACAGAAAGCGAGAAATCACCCCCCAGAGGGGATGGCCACGCCGCAATCCCTTCTCCTCCATTCTCCTCTTGGGATCTTGGGCACGCACGCACACACGCCCGGCGTGGGTTTTAAGCCACCGGGTCCGGGACGCGAACCGCGGTCGACTACGTGGGAGTCCAGCGACATAGCCATTACGCTAACTGCTGGTTCCCTTCGCCTTCATTTTTGCAGTGAAGTAATCCGGGAGCTCCCTTGCATAGGGCACTTGGCATATAAACATTTTGGAACAAAGTCTGAAAATCCCTCTTTTCGGTTTTCAGTGGAAACAGAATTCCAGGCTGAATATAATTTTTCATCAGAAATGTCCCTCTGCTCCCCTGTCCTTTGGCGGCCAGCAATACCCTGGAGAAGTGGAGCGCAGCTCTTCCCTTTCCCTGGTGGCCTCTCACTCCCCCGGGGGCCCGTGAGCTCTTTTCTGAGCCCTGCCCGTGGTAAACCCCAGCGTTCTAACCACTGGCCGGGGCTCGAGGAGGGCCGCACGGCGGAGGCCCGTGCTCTTCAAGCCGGCTTATTTCCTCGTGCTACCTCAGTCGTCGCTGCCCCTCAGTTCACTTACTTTTCTTGTGCTGAATTAATCCTCTCATTTCTTCATCTTCCCTCTTCCTTACTGTTTTATATCTTCTGGGAGAATGTCTTTTATCTCTCAAACTTTCTATTGATTCTTTACATTTTTAGTATTCTATTTTTAACTTGTGACAACTCTTTCTAGTTCTCCGGCTGTTCCTTTTATCGTCTTCTTTTTCCCAGGAGTGCCGTATCTTTTCTTCTCCCTCTTGAGTCTGAGGTTAAGGCCTGTTTTCACTCCCTGCATGGCCTTCTCCCAGGTTCTCTTCACTGTTTGTTACTTCAGCCTCAGTCTCTCGTGTTTGAGCTTCCTTGGTGACCTGGTGGCCTTCGCTATCCTTTCCCACTCGAGTGAGGCAACGACACGCAGATTGGACGCCCGGTGAAGGGTGGAGGGTTGCTGGGGACCGTTGCCTGGTGAGCTTGCTGTGGAATGGCCAGGAGGACGGCCTGCCCTGAACTCCAATGACCAGAGCCCTCACTTTCGTGCAGTCCCGCCGGGGAAGCCCTGTAGCTGTGCGAGGGCGAGGGTGAGGTTGGAGCATACACCTAGAAATGTGTTCTCAGAGCAGGAGTCAGGTGGGGAGGGAGCCCCTCGCTGCATGGGGTGTTGGCTTTGTCCCCTGCGAGGCAAGGTGTCCGAGTCCAGAGTTCCTCTGAGGCTTAGTTTCTGCAAGGCCTAACTTTTGGAGGTGGGGGCAGTGTGTCAGAAACATTATTTTTACATAGTTACGATAGGACATGTTTTCTAAGGAGCTTCATTTCCTGCTTACTTTGCCATCACATGTCCTAAAGCTGGAACTATATGGAGAAGATTAGCATGGCACCTACACAAGGGCGACATGCAAATTCACTGTGTTCCCATAAAAACGAACAAACCAAAGAAAAAACCTCAAAATGGACCAAAGCCCTAAAAATAAGAGCTGAAAGTGTAAAACAGGTGAAACCATGGAGTTCGAGGGTACTTTCGATGTTGGATTTAACAAGGATTTCTTAGACATGATACTTTTTTCCTTTTCTTTGTTATTATTATTAAACCGCTATACATCATTTAGATTGTGAAGAGACTTTACCCAGCACGGTATACACCTCAGTCCAGCCCAGCCGAGAATACTATGTACATCCTCAACAGTAATAAACCATATCCCAAAAGCACAAGAGACAGGAAAAAACAAGAGAGACGAAGAGGACTTCACCAAAGTTAAAAACTTTTGCATCAATGGGTGTGACCGGTGGGTGAGAGGCAACCACAGCACAGGAAAGCGCTCGCAGTCGCGTCTGACAAGGAACTGTTAGCAGGGCTGTGCGAAGTTCTCCCAGGGCTCAACGGCACAGAAACCAAGCGTCGTGATTAACACGGGCGAAGGACTAGATAGACATTTCCCCAAAGAAGGCATACAGACGGCCCTCCAGCACACGGAAGCATGCGCTACATCACTGGTCATTGAGCAAAGCCAAATGGAAACCACGGGAGATAACACTCCACACCCAGTCGGAGGGCTGTTACGAAGCACATGAACCAGACATGATGCGTGTCGGTGAGGACGCGGAAGGACCGGCCTCATGCTGTGCTGGTGGGAGTGCGACACGGTGCAGCCTCTGTCGGGAACGGTCTGGCGATTCCTCACAACTGAAGCCTAGAGTTACACCTGACCCCGGAACTGCACTTGGGACGTCCGAGCCCAAGAGCAGAGGCTGGGACTCAGGAGACGTCCGCGGGCCGTGCTCAGAGCAGCGTTGTTACAACGGCCGAGAGGTGGAAGCCACTGGAGTGAGCCTGGTGCAGGAGCAGATCAACTGTGGCCCATCCACGCAGGAACGTCATTCAGCATTCTAAAGGGGAAATTCTGGCAGAAGCTACGGCTCCGACAGGCTTCGAGAACACTGGGTTAGGTGAGATATGTAGTCACGAGCAGAAAAGCACGTGCGAGGTCACCTACATGAAGCTCCGAGAGGAGCCAGGCCCGTAGCGACAGGGAGTGGGACGGCGGAGTTAGGGCTGAGGGGAGAGAGAACTGGGGAGCTCATGTTCGGAAGGAGGAGAGCCCCAGAGCTGGGGGACCGGCTCAGCAGCGCCTCTGCAGTGCTGCACGGCCAAACGCTTACAAATGTCCAAAGTGGGAAATACTGAGTTAGGCGGATTTTACCATGCTTTTAAAATGTACTTTAAAAAATAAATCAAGAAGAGTTGTTTAAAAGAAAAGATTTTGGTTTATAGATACCTCATGTCACTCAGACATTCGAAACCACCAGCCCCTCCTCCCTCTTTCCGTCCTCCCTGTCTCTCCCTTTGTCCTAAATGCAAAGGGAAAGGCAGGGACGGTGCTCCCCTTCCTCAGGACTCAGCACCCCCTCCCTGTCCTTCGGCGTTGGACGCTCTT